GAGGGGGAGAAATGTAAACAAATAGCTCCTTATTAATATTTATTTCAAACCCCCTGCAGGTTATCGGAGAGGGCCCTGCACACAATCAGCAAGGGCCACGTTGCCATGAACGAGGTAGTAGTCATAGCCATGCTGAAGGTATGGCACGCCAAGTATATATGCTGTTGATTCACTTTAAGGTCCGTGTTTCAGCAGTTATGGGACCACTGAGCATGCGAGTTTCAGGGCAATAGCAGGCCAACTCGCCACGTGCTTTTCAGGGCTTCCCTCCACTAAAAATGTGCAAAACTAGAATGAATCTTCTGCTAGAACATGGAACCGTACGCCGCCATATGTTTTGTCTTTTGTGCAAGTGGTGACGAGTGAAGCAAGGCCCTTAGGGCCACTTGTCGTAGGAAAATGAAACAAAAGACAGACAGGAATGAATCTTCTGCTAGAACATGGAACACATACGCCGCATATGTTTTGTCTTTTGTGCTGGTGACGAGTGGAGCAAGGCCCTTAGGACCACTGCTCGTAGGAAAAAGAAACRAAAGAAAGAGAGAGCTACGGTAGCAAGTAGTTGTAACTTGTAACCCATAACTGCTCGAAAGCAGACCTGACTTCGGATCCAGAACATATATTGCTGGCCTGCTCTTCTTTTACACGAAATTTGCTGAACATCTCTTGAGATGTTGGGACCCTTGCATATCTACTGCTGGGGTCCTCCACGAAAAAGACTATTCAACAAGGAATACGTGGGCCCTATTTTTTTTTCTGTGGGGAGGTGCACCATTGGCTACCTCAGCCATCCTTCTCCATTTCTTTTTTTATATCCTATTTAGTGGGGTGCGTCACATCACGCGCGCCTTGACTGGTCGGCTGCCGACCCGCCGACCGATCGGCTGGTCGGCACCTAGCAGTTGGGGATCATCGGCACCCCGCACTTTTTTTTGTTTTTGTTTTTGGGATCCAGAACCCCTAATAACCCCACCCACACCCCCATAGCGGCCCCCAATACCCGGATACACGAACCTAACACTCCCGAACTGCCCCCAATATCCCCTATATCACCCCTATACTCCACCTGTACTCCAACCCATACCTGCGGCGTACCCCGTGCGCTCGAGCTCCGCACGTGCGGCGCATAACGCACGTGGTGTTGGAGAAAGAACTCGTGAAGGAAACGACTTATATATGGAGATGAAAGAATCTAAGGTTATTAACGAAGAAAACATTTCTGAATCCAAAGTAGCTCTAGTTTATGGACAGATGAATGAGCCGCCAGGCGCTCGCATGAGAGTTGGACTTACTGCTTTGACTATGGCAGAATATTTTCGAGATGTGAATAAACAAGCCGCCAACCGTCGGGGTGTGCAACCCTGCTTTACTTAAGAAAAAACAAAACAAAACAAAAACTCCCTTTCGGGAGTCCAGCAGATGAGAAACATCATCGAGAAAGGAGTTGGAAGGAGGGAGGGCAAGTAGATGGAGAGAGGGAGAGTGGGCCTTTCTTAGAAGTCTATAGCAGAGGTCGGTGTACCTGTAATCTCAGAGAAGCGTCAAGCGAAACATACGGATGCGCTTTCAGCAAAGTCGGTGCCACAACCGCTCCTATCCGGGTAGTTCGTGCAGGACTCTCATGAGTCGCAGACTCGAACCCTGGAAACACTTCCCTTAACCATGAACTAGCGGCCTCTGCTGCTACGCCGCTCATCGCACGCGTATCATTCACAAGCTCCTCAATTGCACTGTACCGAATTCGACTGCACATGGAAAGTGAAAGTGAGGTACTTGTTATTACACAGTCGCCAACTGGCCCAGGAAGAGCCCCACAAATCGTTGAAAAATAGCCAATCTTCCGTCTTCTTTTTTCTTTTTTCTTTTTTCCTTTTTTGTTTTACCAGAACAGATGCTGCATTCAATCCTAGCCAAAAAGGCCAAGTCAACATGCCTACCGTCTTCCCCCCAACAGAATGCATGGCCATTAATCGCTGCATCTGGGCTGTAAGTTGCCCCAAATACAGAAATAACGACCGTGATAGCTTGCATGTTCGAAATCTGGACATCAAATCCATTAACAACTAGAAAACAATACAGATAGAAGATTAGCATGGCCCCTGCTCAAGGATGATGCACTCAAATTCAGATATGGAACAGGTGACGAGTTCGAGTCCTTCTGGACGCCGACACCGCAATCGCTGGGGCTACAACCTACTGCCTCGTGAGAAGCGCAGAACACCTGCCCTCAGTACCGCACACGACAGTTCGCCACCATGCAGCGCAGCGCAACCCCCAAAACCTCAACGTGAAGACCCGGCGGCGATCGGAAAGCAGCCTTCAAGGCACGACTTTGGCCCTCCTGTTCGGCTCACCGGGGTCATTTTAGAAAGATTCACTATGTCCGCTGTGCGGACGACTTCTTGACTGGAGCCATCGAATCTGCAGGGAGGGACAAAAAACTGTGGGCATAGGATTGGCCGACTTAAAAAAGGTGAGCCTCCCGCTAACCAGAGTGGTTATAAAAGGCAGAGACAGTTTAGGAAAAATAGGAATTCGCTGCCAGCAATGCAACTTGCAAAGAGTGACGGACCTATGAGCAGAAGGGATGAAGGATGGGGCAGTTTCCTGACTGTGACTGTAGGAGGAGAGGAGAGAAGGGATGAAGGATGGGAAGAGGGAAGGAAAAGAGCAGGAAGAGACAAAGGAAGGAGGGGACAAACTCCGACAAAGCGAGAAGAGAACAAAGGGAGGGGGAGGAGACAAAAAAGAAGGCAGGGTATGAAAAGAGTGCTTCATGAATGTTGAAAAGAGTGTTTCCTTGCCTGCTAGCACGAACCTTCCAAGTGGCACCACTGGGCATAGCAGGTACATCGAACCATTTCCAAACAAAAAGAGAACCTGTTGACGATACGAACAAAAAACGACACACACACACACACACACACACACACACACACACACACAGCAACGTTCTTAGATCTTCATTTTCATCGAATGCGTGCATGTGAAGTTTTGTGATAGGTGCTACAATGCTCCGAAATCCTACTTCTCATCTGGCTCTGTCTTTTGACAAGAGAGGCCAGCATGGCTTCGTCCGTTAGAGAAAGAACGAGGGTATGAAAGAGGGACTCAAGTAATCAGAGCAGCAGTAGCTTTTTTTCTCTCTTCTTTTTCAAGTTTTCAGGTTTTTCAAACTTGTCTCTCCTTTTTTTTGCTAGAGGAGAAAACGAAGACAGAAGCATGGAGCAAGATGTGGAAAGGAAAGGATGATGTAAAAGGAACGACGAGGAAAATAAATGAGAGGTTGGCGACCGTGAGAACATACACTTGTTCATCTGTAGTACCATACGCGGAGGACACTGTCTCTCCAAGTTGGGGGGTTGGTTGTGGTGTTTGGGTTTGTATGTAGTCGCACTTTTCACCTTTTTACATGTTGAAACATTAGCAGCCGGAGTGGAAAAACCCACAAACCAAACACTCAGGAGGATGAAAATGTTGCCGAATGTGCATCTTCTTTGGTGTCTTTGTCGTGTACTCTCTCTCTCTCTCTCTCTCTCTCTCTCTCTCTCTCTCTCTCTCTCTCTCTCTCCCTCCCTC